CCAAACTATCCCAAAACTGTCCCCAAACTGTCCCAAAACTGTCCCAAAACTGTCCCTGACCCTGTCCCTAAACCAGCCCCAAACTGGCCCCAACCCTGTCCCTTCCCTGTCCCTGTATCATGAGGAGCCCCCCAGATCTCCCCAATGTTCGGGGCCCCCCAAACCCTCCCCAATGTTTTGGGGACCCCCCAAACCCTCCCCAATGTTTTGGGGCCCCTCCAAACGCTCCCCAATGTTTTGGGGCCCCTCCAAACGCTCCCCAATGTTTTGGGGACCCCCCAAACCTTCCCCAATGTTTTGGGGACCCTCCAAATGCTCCCCAATGTTTGGGGCCCCCCAAACCCTCCCCAATGTTTTGGGGACCCTCCCAAACCCTCCCCAATGTTTTGGGGACCCCCCCAAACGCTCTCCAATGTTTTGGGGACCCTCCCAAACCCTCCCCAATGTTTGGGGACCCCCCAAACGCTCCCCAATGTTTGGGGACCCCCCAAACGCTCTCCAATGTTTTGGGGACCCTCCCAAACCCTCCCCAATGTTTTGGGGACCCCCCAAACCCTCCCCAATGTTTTGGGGACCCTCCCAAACCCTCCCCAATGTTTGGGGACCCCCCCATCCCAACCCCGTGTCCCCCCCAAATTCCAGACGGGACCTTCCTGGCCATCGGCTCCCACGACAATTTCATCTACATCTACAGCGTGGCCGAGGGTGGCCGCAAGCTCAGCCGCTTCGGCCGCTGCACGGTGAGCCCGGGGGGTCTGGGGGGCTCTGGGGGGGCTCTGGGGGGTTCTGGGGGGGTTCTGGGGGGTCCTGGGAACCCAGTGATCCCCCCCCCACCCCCAGGGTCACTCGAGTTTCATCACCCACCTGGACTGGTCCAAGGACGGCCGTTTCATCATGTCCAACTCGGGGGATTATGAGATCCTCTACTGTGAGTCTGGGGGCTTGGGGGGCTTCCTGTGGGGGTGATGGGGCCCTTCTGATCCTGATGGGACCCTCAGAGTTGGGGGGGAGCCCCCTGACCCTGCCAGGACCTTTCTGGTCCCAGTGGGAACCCCCTGACCCTGCCAGGACCTTCCTGATCCTGCCGGGACCCTCAGAGCTGGGGGGAACCCCCTGACCCTGCCAGGACCCTTCTGATCCTGCTGGGACCTCCAGAGCTGGGGGGGAACCCCCTGACCCTGCCAGGACCCTCCTGACCCTGCTGGGACCCTCAGAACTGATCCTGACCCTGCCAGGACCCCCAGAGCTGGGGTGGAACCCCCTGACCCTGCTGAGACCCCTCATGGCCCTTCCAGGACCTTCCTGATCCCAATGGGAACCCCCTGGCCCTTCCAGGACCTTCCTGACCCTGCCAGGACCTTTCTGGTCCCAGTGGGAACCCCCTGACCCTGCCAGGACCCTCCTGACCCTGCTGGGACCCCCAGAGCTCATCCTGACCCTGCCAGGACCCCCAGAGCTGGGGTGGAACCCCCTGACCCTGCTGAGACCCCTCGTGGCCCTTCCAGGACCTTCCTGACCCTTCCAGAACTTGAACTTTTCCCTACTGGGAACCCCTCCCCTCAAATTTTGGGGTCTCCCTGCTCCCTCCTCCCCTGGATTTTTTGGGGGGGGGTCTCACTTTCCCCACCCCTCCCCGAATTTTGGGGGGGTTTCACTGCCCCCCTCCCTGGATTTTTGGGGGGGGTCTCACTTTCCCTCCCCATTCCCAGATATTTTTTTTTGAGGAGGGGGTTTTCACTTTCCCTTCCCCCTCCTGGATTTTGGGTGCCTTTCACCACGCCCCCCACCCAAATTTCGGAGGGGATTTCACTGCCCCCACCCCCGATTTTGATGGGAAGCTCTCACAACCCCCCACAAACCCCCAATATTTTTTTTTGGGGTGGGGTCTCTCTCCCTGCCTCTCTCTCCCCCTCTCCAGGGGACGTGGCCGGGGGCTGCAAACTCCTCCGGAACCGCTTCGAGAGCCGGGACCGGGAATGGGCCTCCTACACCTGCGTGCTCGGCTTCCACGTCTTCGGTGGGTCTGGGGGCTCTGGGGGGGGTGGGCAGGGGGGGGTTTGGGGTCCCCCTGACCCCACCCCGATCCCACAGGGGTGTGGCCGGACGGTTCGGACGGCACCGACATCAATTCCCTGTGCCGCTCGCACCACGAGCGCGTGGTGGCCGTGGCCGACGACTTCTGCAAGGTTCACCTGTTCCAGTACCCCTGTGCCCGGCCCAAGGTGGGCGGGGGGCTCCGGGGGTCCTGGAAGGGCTCGGGGGGGTCCCAGACCCCAATTTGGGGGTCCCAGACTCCAGTTTGGGGGGTCCTGGTTGTGCAAAGTCCGGCGGTTCCAGTACCCCTGTGCCCGGCCCAAGGTGGGCGGGGGGCTCCGGGGGTCCTGGAAGGGCTCGGGGGGGTCCCAGACCCCAATTTGGGGGTCCCAGACTCCAGTTTGGGGGGTCCTGGTTGTGCAAAGTCCGGCGGGTCCAGTACCCCTGTGCCCCGCCCAAGGTGGGCGGGGGGCTCCGGGGGGCCTGGAAGGGCTCGGGGGGGTCCCAGACCCCAATTTGAAAGTCCCAGCCTCCAGTTTGGGGGGTCCTGGTTGTGCAAAGTCCGGCGGGTCCAGTACCCCTGTGCCCCGCCCAAGGTGGGCGGGGGGCTCCGGGGGGCCTGGAAGGGCTCGGGGGGGTCCCAGACCCCAATTTGAAAGTCCCAGCCTCCAGTTTGGGGGGTCCTGGTTGTGCAAAGTCCGGCGGGTCCAGTACCCCTGTGCCCCGCCCAAGGTGGGCGGGGGGCTCCGGGGGGCCTGGAAGGGCTCGGGGGGGTCCCAGACCCCAATTTGGGGGTCCCAGACTCCAGTTTGGGGGTCCCAGACTCCAGTTTGGGGGTCTGGAGGGTCCTGGTTGTGCAAAGTCCGGCGGTTCCAGTACCCCTGTGCCCGGCCCAAGGTGGGCAGGGGGCTCCGGGGGTCCTGGCAGGGCTCAGGGGGGTCCCAGACCCCAATTTGGGGGTAGGGGGGCTCCGGGCGTCCTGGAAGGGTTTGGGGGGGTCCCAGACCCCAATTTGGGGGATCAGGAGGGTCCCAAATCCCGATCTGGGGGATCAGGAGGGTCCAAACCCCAAATTGAGGGGTCAGGGGGCTCCACACTCACAGGCTGGGTTTTTTTTGGGGGGGGGGGGGGCTCCCAGCCCCCATTTTGAGGGGGGGGGCGAGACCACGTGACCCCCGCACGTGACCCCCGCTCCCCTCACGTGTTTCCCGCCCTTCCCCTCAGGCGCCCAGTCACGTGTACGGCGGGCACGGCAGCCACGTGACCAACGTGCGCTTCACGCACGACGACGGGCACCTGGTGTCGCTGGGCGGGAAGGACACGAGCGTGTTCCAGTGGCGGGTGCTGCCCGGCGACAGCGGCTGAGCCCCCCGCGCTTCCTCTTCCTCGCTGCTTCCTCTTCCCTTTTCCCCCTTTCCTGGGACCAAAGAGCGGGCGAGGGCTCGGTTAAACCGTTCCTTTCCCCCGCGGTTATCGCGCTGCACTGTGAGAGGCGTCAATAAAAGCCTTGGGGTCAGGGCAGGGCCCCGCCGCTTTCTCCGCGCCGGAATCGCCGCCACTTCCCGGAAGCGCCGCGGGTTCTTCCGTCTCCCCGCCCTCGGGGTCTTTCCGGTTCTGGCGGAACTCGCCGAGCGCTTTACGGAAAGAGCCGAGGTTGAGCCGAGGAGTGCCGGAAAGAGCCGAGGCCGAGCCGAGGCTTCCTCGAAGCCGGGCCGAAAAGCGCCGAGGTCGCTCCGGAAGCGCCCGAGGCGGCGCCGAGCCCGTGCCGGAGGTGCCCGAACGAATCCGGCAGTGCTCGAACCTCTCCGGAGGTGCCCGAGAGGCTTTGCCGGAGGTTGCCGAACGTGTCCGGGAGTGCCCGAAGCCTCTCCGGAGGTGCCCGAAGGGCTCCGAACCGGCCGTGCCGGCGCGGAGGCGGCGGGAGCGGCGATGAAGCGCGGCCGGGGCCGGGCCCGGGGGTAGCGCGGCCGAGCGAGCGGCCATGGCGGCCAACATGTACCGCGTCGGCGGTGAGCGCGCCGGGGGGCGCGGGAGGCTGGGAGGGACGGCCAAGGGCGCCCTCAGGGCTCCGGGGGCGCCCTGAGGGGATTTGGGGGGTCCCGGA